GCTCTTTTATCCTCAACTCAAGCTCTTTAATCTGCAAAAATCAAAACCAAAACCTTTTCAACACATCTGGTGATTCATAAGATACTTGAGACAACAATCCATGAAACTAACCTTCTGTCGTAGTAAAACTGCCTCTTGACTATGCTCGTCTTTTAGTTTTGCCTCCATCTCCTTAATCTGAAACACCATACAATTTTTTAATTAAAAAGATGGTAAGTTTGAGAATGAATCAGTAGTCTGCGTCCTAACCTTCTGTTGCCACACAAGAGAGTTTCCTTCAGAGTCTTTCAACTTAGTCTCATAATCCTTAACCTTCCGTTGCAACGCAAGGGAGTTGGCTTCAGAGTCTTTCAGCTTATTCTCAAGATCCTTAACCTGCAGGAATCATTTACGATATTTGGTAACTCTCAACAAAAAAAACATTATGATATTTATAGTGACAATCAATATTGATCTCAGGAAACCTTCTGCTGGTGAGCTGCAGAGTCTGATTGTTGTCTCTCCCGAAGCTTACACTCTAGCTCCTTGACCTTTTAATGGAGAAAATTGATTGTTAGTCATAAAATGGTAATCCAGAAAATCAAGCAAAGAAAAAAAGATGAACCTTCTGCTGAAGATTGGTACAAGTATCATCTCTGCTTTTTAGTCTTTCTAGTAGCTGTGCATTTTGCTTTTCGGATTGGTTATGTAGTGACTCAAGCTGGCTTTCAAGTTCTTTGTTCTTTTCCTGGAGACTTCTGTATGAGTGGTCTCTTCCTTTATTCTTACCTTCCAGGTTCTGTATGTTCTCTTCCAGTTTCTTTATCATTTCCTCTTTTGAGCGGTTTTCGTGCCTGGCTTTCTCCACCTTGAAGTTTAACATGAAGCAATAAGGGAAAGCTTTAATACAATCCAGGAAGACCAAAATGAAAACGTTTCAGAAGTCATACCATTGCTTTCATCTTCTGAATCTCACCGGTATCAACTTGCTTCCTCGCAGGACCCAACTCAACTCCTCTAACACGAGTTGCAAAGTTTAGTGAACTTAAAGTCTCACTAACATCGTTCTCAGAGGGACTGATTTGCACAAACATCAGCGTCTTTGAGTCACCTCCTGCGTCATTTGCACATTCACATCAGTTTACCAGAAGCATAGTGTAACAAAGAATTGATCCTTTAAGAAAGGTCATTAAAGATTCTTACCCAGTGAATCTTGAAGCAAGTGTGTTAATTTTGAGTTCCTAATAGTGAACAATTGCAAGTGTTAAAAGCAGACAAGGTCATAATAGAGATGGAGAGAAAATTATACAAAGGATTAGACAAACCTGTATGGAATGTGACTACTCTTTGTAGCCAATGCATAAATCACATCCCCAAGAGCTGAAAGCGATCTGTTGATGTTTTGTGCTTCCTTTAGTCGCTCACCTTGCACATCAGTCTTTGCCAACCTCTCACTTCCTGCTAAATCAACAAGCCAAAGTGTGCTTTTCGTGCAGTCACCATTCATCAGGTTCTTCGCTTTCACCATTATAGAGAGCATGCTGCAAAGAAAAATTAACATATTGAACAATTCCCATAATGCAACATAAAATGAGGGAAAACCAAACATTCAAACAACATAGTAAAAGGTGCAGAAATTCAAAGATACCAGTGAGAGCGGCTACTATGTTCATTCACATTATTGGATCCAACAGCTCTTGCGTTGCTCCCCGCTTGAAGCACATTCCACACTTCGTTTATATTTTCCACTTTCGCTTCTACTAATCCAGGAACATGGTGGGAACCGTCAAAGGATTGTTTGATCTCCAACCTGAGTAACCAAAGCCAAAAAGACTGAGTGATAGCTCTGTGAAAATTTTCTGTTTCAGTTGTGTGTTTAAAGTACAGCTTCTTACTTTTTTGAGGCTGGTGATGTTGCCAGTAAGTCTCTTATCTGTTCGTTGTAGACCTCAAGGACACTAACCGAAATATTATATGTAATTGTCTCTCTCCTTTCGTTCGCAATTTCAAATAATTGCTCAACGGTTCTATAGTTGACACCCCTGTTCTGTGGGGTACCTTCCATTGTAAACGTCTTTCCTGTCCCTGTTTGCCCGTATGCAAAGATACACACATTGTAGCCGTCTAGCACTGACACAACCATAGGAGAAGCATCTGCAAAGACATCAACTGCAAGATCGAGAAAGAAACTTTGTTAGAAATCTGTGTTATTTATACTGAAATAGATATAACGTGACCATGACACAACATTACCTTGACCATCTTTTGGTGTATAAACTCTGTCAAACTTGAAACTCTTCTTGGAATTATTTCCTGTAACAACACCAAGCTCTCCATCTTTTGCTCCATCAAAGTCAACAGCTGTGGCACACCTCGTTGATGTTTCCTCTTTATTCAATGGGCGGCAACGACAAAAGACCCTAATATTGCCTGATATAAGGGATGCTGTTAGTAGATTCATAAAATGTGATGTCAAGACCAAGGAAAACCATCAGAAAGGATAAAGTCTCTTTACCCTTAGTCTCTTGTATATAGTTATATAGTTCTTTTCGCTTTGCTTGCTCTTCGCTGTACTTCTGCTTGAGATCCTCACACTGTGAAACTGTTTAAACGAGTTCATATATTGCGCGTCAAGAAATTGCCTCTTTGAATCCCATTTTAAGAATTAAAAGAGTGGAGGCAAAAACTCACCAAGGGCCTGAACTCCATCAACCATTTTGTACAATTCAGGAATTGATCCCACACACTCGTGTGCTTCCTGGGATAGCTGAGATTGTTCCCTTTTCATTATCTGCAGAGAAACGGTTTAATAGAAAACCATGTATGTTACCGAGAGGCTATGATACAACAATACTTTAGGTAACACCAAGCTACCTCTATTTTCTCCTGTAGACTAGCAATTGCAGTGGTCCAATGTCTCTTGTCATTCTCATACTTGCTCGTAATACTATTCAAACTGTTTGCTTGCGTCTCCACAGTTTGGTCTGTTTCAGTTAAGCATTGAATTATAAAACAAGAAACCTCCGTCAAATGAAAAGAAAGTCTTCCACGAGTTCTGCATTACCTAGTGAGCGTGCCTCATACATCTTAATGTCGAGATCCATCATCACTTTCTCTAGTTGCTCATTGGCAGAGGTCAGTGACATCCATGCTTCATGGCACTCATTTGACTTATGTTGGTATCTTTCAGAAAGCTCTTCTATCTTCTTCTCATACCTCTCATGAGCTTTTGCTCGCATAAGCCTCTTCTGCTCGGATATCAACATAAAAGAAAAAACTTAATATAATCCATTACGCTCATTTTATTCAGGAAATAAGACCCAGCAAGCTAGTTAAACAGTACCCGAGCGGGAGAAATCTCCATTTCGGCAGCACAGTTCTGACACTTGATAAAATCTTGTGATGTCCTTACAACTGTACAAAGAATGCAAACAATGAGTTATAAAAACTAAAAACTTCAAGATTCCCTATCAAGAGAAGAACACCATATACCTGAAACTTTCGGTGCTTTCCTCACACAAATCCCACAAACCACTGGACTCCCATTGATTCCCTCAAACCTCACCCTTATCAACCCATCCTCCATTACAACAACCCTTAAGTCAACCAACAAAAGTGGCCTGTTTGCGCCAACCACCGAGAAGATATCAAACTCAGATAAAACCTAAACACATAACCAAAAAAAAAACACAATCTTGTCAGCATTTTAAAGCAAACTCTTTCCCACACAAACATTGACTTCACCTTATCATCTTGAACATAGACATTGAACACTCTAATCCCTCTAGGTCCATTAGTATTAACAATCTCCGCGAAATGAAAATCAACAAAATACTCCCCAGGGAGAAGGTTGCTTATCCCGTAGCTGAAGTTGCCAACACGAGCTGACTGGTAGATGAACGGGAAGTCTCCCGCTTCAACTATACACTCGTCTGTTCTCAACACACCTCCTCCTTCGAAATAGCTGTCTTTACAGATAGTCATCTCGGAATCTAACACCTTCGAATCAACATCTCCTCCAGCGTTTATGAACATAATCGTATCGTCTCCTGCTTACACAAAGAATGCCTCAAATACATAAGCTAAAATTGAACATAAACATCATTTATTGAGTGATTTCGCGACGTATAAGGCTAGATCCAGTGGAAAATTAGGCGAAACCCTAAACCCTAGAGATTCAAAATTGAAATCGGAAGTGAGAAGAGAAGATTCGAACCTGAGTGGTTAGCTTTTGTGAAACCGCTGAGGACGAGTCGCGAATTGGGATCGCAGACCATGGAATCGTCGCGTTCATCCATTATTGTATCTCCGATCTCTTGTTTCTCTGTTGCGTCGGTTACGAATTGGGGATTAAGAAGCTCCGGGGGTGAATCGGAGGTGAGGTTTGGATCCGCGGCGTCGATCTGAGCATCCTCCATTGAGAAAGCTGTTTGTTTGTTTGTTTCTATCTCTCTCTCTCTCGTTTGTATTCGTTATTTTTGGAGAAAATGAAAAGCTTAGGGGAAATAAAGAGGAGGCGTGAGAATATTTGATTTCCTTTTCTGCGAATTGGAGTTTTTAAATTTTGAATCGATCTAAGACGACCGTTTAATGAGGGGGAGACGCTTTTCGTAATGGGCTTTGTTGTATATTATATGGGCCTGTTTAAAGTCTGTGTTAAATTTAAACGAAAGCATTCGGTTAGTGTCGGTTCGGGTTCTTTTGGATAGGTTTGTATTAGATTTAGATCTTCGGATTCGGTCAGGATTGTACTGGTTTTAACCGAGTTAGCTGATATGAACTAAAAAAACAGTGTAGAGGGGAAAAATGTATGAGTAACCCAAATATGCAAAATATATTAAAAAGAAAATCATGTGTGTTTTGGGTTCCAAAACTGCACAAGATTTTCTTTTTAATAACTGTAGTTTCTAAAAGCAGTTGGAGTTTTGGGATAAAAGCCAACTAATAATCTCCATTTACAAAAACGTAGCTGCACAATAGAATGCTATCTCTCATCCGTTCATGTTGTTGTTGTTGTATTATCAATGATCAGCAAGGATTGAAACGATCAAAGACATGGCTGTGCGGGCTTGCTCAGGATTCCCAGAGAGTAACAACATCGTTTCAACTTCTGTAGGAGCATCCTTCACATCCACTTTGGCTCCTGAAATCTATTACATGTTCCCAAAAGTGTTTTAGAATCTATCAAATTGCATCTAAAATGATTCAAAGTAACAGAAGAAACAGACCTGTTGTAGATTATCTAGACCGCCGCCATCTCTTCCGTTAAGTGCAGCAAGAGCATCCTTCTCCACAGCTAGCTCCAATGTAACGTATCTCAAAGATACACCTTTACTTCTGCTTCCCCCAAAAAAAACACCAGCAGAAATTATACCTCAGGAGACTGTTGACAAAACAGATACATTATGGATGGCAAGTAGTAACAGACCGTTGTGGTGGTAAAAAAGAGATGTCTCCGTTGCTAGAAAGTTCAAGAAGTTTCATTCCTTGTGTCAAGTCATTCTCCAGCAAGCTTGGTGTAAAGCCGTTGACTTCATTTACTGCCTCTGTGTGCATCAAGTCACAATTCATTACTTCTGTACCGCTTCTGACCATCTTCACGTCTTGTTCACCATCTGATACGGACAGAGAATCGCCTCTCACTGCGTTCTGCGGTTTTGTTGAACCACCATGGTTCTTAAAAGCAATCAACTATCCAAAAGTGGAACAAGAGAGAGTACAGAACACACACTTACCTGTTGTGGTGGTTGCAGATTATAATTTGCTACTCCATTTTCGTATTGATTACTAACTCTAGCTCTCATTTCTTCCACGTCCTTCTTTGGCAATAGGTTCTCCCTTAATTTAGAAGAAACATGAGACAACGCCTTCTGTACATGCCTATACTCTCCCATAATCTACAAAACAATCAAAGAGTCAAAAAGGAGTTCATTAACTGCATTGTATCACATGATCTTCTCATCGCTATAGGTTAAAAAAGAGCTTATACTAATTACAAGAAAAGATGAGCTTACCTCTATTACCATTTCATTTTCTGAGATACAGTCCAGAGTCTGGTCACCTACTGAAATGTGTACATCAATACCATCTTCTCTGTTTCCAATCAAGTCATTACCAAACTGTGACGGTACCAATAGCTTAGCTTTCACTAAAGCACCCGGGAACAGACCTTTTCCAACATCAATCTCAACAGATCTTGTAAATACAAGAACCAGAGCTTTTTGTGCCTGAGAGAACCGTGACTCGAGGCTCTTATAAAAGCAAGAAAGACAAAGCGAATTAGAATGATGACGTCAAAAATGTAGCAGCAAGCAAGTAACAGAAGCTACCTCACGTGCGGAGATGGTAACAACACGTTCACCGGATACTTTTAACGGAGCTCCAATCGAGATAGAAGCACCTGTTTCATTCTGCAGAGCTCTGATACTTGTTCCTTGTTTCCCAATAATGCCTCCAGCTGCAAGACTTGTGCAGATTATTTTATACACAACCTTCTTATCTGTATCTTTGGAGCCCTGAAAAATGTTTCCTTCTTGATATCGTGATGGTGAATGACTAGTAAATGCAGCAGCTTCTGAGGCATTAGGCAACGAAGAAGAAGAGCGCAGGTTCGGGAAAAACTCAGAGTGCGGATCCTCTGAGCTTCCGTTGGTAGATGGCTCGTAAGGTTTGCTGCAAAGTGGCGGTGTGTAACCATTGAGAGGTTGAGTGTTTTGAAGAAATGTTGATACCATAACAAGTGCCTTCTTCACAGCTAAGACATCACCTGTAATCTAGTGTACAGAAAAGAAGACAAGACATTCACAAATCAAAACCAAAAAAAAAATGCAACACACCTTTCATAAAGAATTAGCTGTAACACTTAGATGAATGAAGTAACTGCAAAATGCTACAAAAGCTACTTTAAAAATCGTAGCTTTTAAGACATTGCCTGTAATCTATGAACAGAAAAGAAGACAAGACATTCACAAATTAAATCCAAAAAAGAAATAAAAAATTCATCAGTTTCTTCACAAAGAAAAGATGAAAAATAAGATGAATAATTCAAAAGCTACTTTTAAAATCGTAGCTTTTTGTTAAACATTGATCAACATCACTTTTCCAAAGTTTGATGAATGTTAAAAATAGCAGATTGGCGTTTACATTCACGACCACCAATGTTATTGCTTCTTCTTCTACTTCTACATGCTCAAAATCAAAGACATTCTCACATCATATAAACCACTATCATAAACTTGCAAGAAGAGTTAATAAGGCAAGAGATTCGCGGGAAAATAATCTCGTTGTTATAAAGAATAGCTGAAACACTAAATAACTGTAGTAACTGCTGAAAAGTTAATAAGGCAAAAATTGCTGAAAAAGCTATATTAGAAATCACTTTTTTTTTGGTTAAACATTGATCATAAACCACTTTTCCAAAGCTTGATGAATGTTAAAAGTAGCAGATTAGCGTTTACATTCAACACCACCAATGTTACTGCTTCTTCTCCTACGTGTACATGTTCAACATCAAACACACTCTCACATCTCATATACATCAACTTCACTTTCATTACCATAAACATAGAAGAAGAGTTGACTGTAATGTTGAAACCCTAAAGACTTAATCTTTATGTTTTTGAGTTCAAAGTTGACCACAGGAGACAACCTTCAAACACATTCTCACAATCATATATGGCTATATATTTCAACTTCACTTTCATTATCATAAACTTTGAAGAACAGTTGACTAACTGTAATGTTGAAACCCCAAAGACTTCAACTTTATGTATTGACTTGAAAGTTGATCACAGGATAATGCAATGTAGTAACTGCAAAAAGCCTACAAAAGCTACTTTAAAAATAGTAGCTTTTTTTTGTTAAAACATTGATCATGTTATTGCTTCTACTTGTACATGTTCAACATCAAACACAAGTGTTGACTGTCATTGAAACCCTAAAGACTTAAACTTTATGTGTTATATTGACTTCAAAGTTAACCCACAAGAGACAGAACACAAACCTGAATCAACTCATCATTACTACCACCACAACTAGGAGGAGGCAAAACCCTAATCATAGCACCAGAGTTTCTCCTCATCCACTCAACATTCTTCCCACCCAACCCCAACACAGCACCAATCTGATTCCTATCAGCAAGTATCCCACAATACGCCTCTCCCTCCTCCTCCACCGCTCCGCCGCCGTCCTTCCTCCCCAAAACCGCCCACGACCTCTCCAAAACCCTAATCAACGCCGTCTGAGCAGCGGAGACCTCGCAAGTCACCCAACCCTTACCTTCCTCTCCCCCGCCGCCACCGCCGCCGGAGACGTAATCTCCGACTCTGTCCGTTAAGAGGAAGCTTTTGTTGACGGCGGTTGAGCCGACGATGAACACGATCCAGTGGTCGGAGCCGTGGGACGGAGACTCGCAGTGGATTTTGGTGGAGGTCTCGCGGCGGAGGTTGGAGACGATGTGGCCGTTTGATCCGATTATGCCGCCGATTAACGACGCGTGGCAGACGACTCGGAGAGCTGTCTCGTCTGGTGACACGTGGATTACTTGGCGACGTTGTTGTAACCGTCGGTTTTGGTTTGAGGAAGTGCGGTTATTCATGGCGGCGAAAGGAGGAGTCTTTTAAGAGTGTTTTTTATTTTTTACCTCTTCTCCGCAAGTGACGGTGAAGCGGGAACGGCAAAACGCTATGAAGTGAAGTATTAAAAGATCAGTATATAGTTTCTTATTTCATTTCTTTAATATTAATCTAACTAGGATAAGATTCGCGCCTTGCGCGGGATGAAGCTATTATTTTTATTATGTTTTGAAAAATGAAACAATAGTTCGGTTTCATTCGGATTAGAGGTGTTCAATCCGGATATCGGGTTTCGGTTCGGTTCGATTTTTTGGTATTTCGATTATTAAAATATAACTACTATTCTAAATCTATATATACTTCAGTTTGATTTGGTTTATATACTATCGGTTTTCAGTTTATTCAATTTTATACCAAAAAACATGATTATTTAGTTTGAGATCATATTATATATTATAAAATATATAATATGATCATATTTAGAGTCATATTGTCACAGAGTCATTTATTAAAAAAATATTATATATTTAAATAAAAGAATAAAAAACAAAAAAGGTTTCTATCATCTAATAAAATGATCAAATCTAGAATTAATATCAAAACACTAAATTTTGAAAATAAAAATAAAAAACAAAACAGAAGCATGAAATTTTTTTTTTATATTCTTTCATATTTAGTGTTCATCAAACCAATATGTCTTCGATTGAACACAACTCTGTTTGTGTAAAGATAAAAAAAAGTTGTAAAGAATTTCAACTAATTGTTGTCCATCAAATTTATAATCTTTACTTTAATTTAGTTACTGTTAAAAAAGAAAAAAGATCAAAATAAGAAGTCTAAGTTGTAATAAATTGTTAGCTATTTACAAATTATAATTATATTTCAACTCATGTAACAAATAGATATTCATGCGTCGTTATAAATATATACATATTTACATATTTCAGTTTAATCGCTTATAAATCAAACAATATTCAAATCCTATGGTTTTTATAAAATCACATCCATTCAATTTGTATGGTATATACCAAAATAACCATATTATCGATTGTTAATATCTTTTAAAAATATAAAATTAAAAAAAGAACTAAGATATTTAAATCATTGATAACAAAACACTACAAGAAAACTCATCCATTACTAGGGCAGGTTTTCCTCGTTAGTTCATAGTAAATGGCCTTTTACTAGGAACTTACGAGGAAACGCGTTTCGTCGAAACACGTTCATCGTAAAGCCATTTTCCTCGTAAAGTCGTAGTAACCACTTTCCTCGTAATTTCCTAGTAACCATTTTCCTCGTAATTTCCTAGTAACCACTTTCCTCGTAATTTCCTATTAACCACTTTCCTCGTAATTTCCTAGTAATGCTTTACTAGGAATTTACTTTGAAATATTTTTCCCTATTAAAAAAAATAATTAAAATAAATATAAATAATATATTTAAAAAAATTAAAGAATTCAAATTATAAATAAAAAGAAATAACAAAATATTTTATAAATAACTAAATATTTAAGTTTTAAATTCATATACAATTAAAGAGAAAAAAACTAAACTACGGATGTTGCTCGTTAAAATTGACGAACGAAGTCGTCATCCCGGCTCGATAACTAGTATCATTAATATACTAGTATCATTTAAAAAAAAGTTAAAAAAATTAAATTAATCTAATCTAAATTCCCTAAACTAACCACATAATCTAAATTCCCTAATCTAACCACCTAATCTAAATTCCCTAAACTAACCACCTAATCTAAATTCCCTAATCTAACCACCTAATCTAAATTCTCTAATCTAACCACCTAAGTAGGAAATAGAGAGAACCTTAAGAGAATTCAGAGAGAAGCTTACTACAAATGAGAAATCGGATTGCTCGAGTTTATATAAGGAATTT